TTTCTCTTTAATGGTATCCGTGGCTCCAGTGAAAAACGTCTCCATCATGAGAAGTGCGCTTAAGGAGAGTTCATGGTGTTAAAATCTAAAGTGCTCCTCTTTTGGAAATCACAACCCCTTTAACCAATCTGAAGATATGTCTGTCTCTCTCTCTGTTTTATTTACTCTTATTGTTTTGCTAATGTCATATTTTCCTGTCAGTATGCTGAGAGAAATGTGAAGTATTTTGCACAAATCAAAAAGCGTAATACTGTGGTACTTGCTATTATAATTACAAATTTCATGCATAAATCAGTAAAATCACAATGAAAACAAGCTGTGGATCTTTCATAAGGGTAGTAATACAGCCGCCTCTGAAATCATCTAAATCTATCCCTGAATTATGAATATGACAGCATTTGGATTACTATTTTCTAATACTAGGATTATTATTTCCCATTGTTGATGATATTGTTAATGAGTAACAATGCACCCCTCCCAAAAACAACAAAAACAAAAACACTGGAACACTGAAGCTATATAGACGGTGTATGGAAATGGATTCAGCTGCTATTAATTTGTGTGTGTGTTTGTTTGTGCGTGCAGTGTGTCTGTTTGCTCTGCTGTTTGGAGTTGTCTGGGCCATCACAGGAAGTGAGTGTTTACCTGGAGGAAACCTGTTTGGCATCGTCATCCTCTTCATCTGCTCCGTGCTGGGAGGGAAGCTGGTGGGAATGATTCAGCTGCCCACACTGCCCCCCTTCCCCCCACTACTTGGTACGACCCAACATCTAAAAACAATCTAATCTCATCTAATCTAATGTAATCTACCATGAAGTCTGTCTAGAAATTTTTCTTTCTCTTATTGGGGGATTCTGTGCATGAAAAATCCTGATCCAGGTTTCTGATGATTCTGAGTCGAGTTCACTGGTGTGTCATCAAGTCAATTATGTAGTAGTTGGTCATCAAAATAAATAAATAATGTAAAAGATATAATGATGATGATGAAGATATAACTAGAGGGAGGGTCTGACTTCAGTGCTGCAGGGTTGTATTTTGTGACTCTTGACACCACAGACCAAAACATGTTCACTCTCAATCAGCTGTGCAAAAAAGAAGTGGAGTTCAGACACACCTGCAGGCAGATGATCAGAAACCTGGATACCTTCTGAATCATGTAAACAGGGAGATGAATAACCAGGTTTCTCATGTTCCCTGTATGCGTTATGATCAAAGCCAGGATACTAATGTGCATTTAAACGCACTCATTGTAAGGCCCTGTACTGTTTGACTGATCAGTTCCCGTGTGTGTCTGCAGGTATGCTGCTGGCAGGGCTGGTGCTGCGTAACGTTCCCTACATAGCGGACGCTGTCTTCATCGACACTCACTGGTCTGCAGCTCTGAGAACGTCGCCCTGTCCATCATCCTTACCAGAGCCGGACTGGGCCTCGACCCCTCGGTGAGCGCACACACTGTACATACTTACTGACTCTTTCAGGTACAGTTGTTTAAATATTTGTTTGTGTGTGCACACGCAGGCGCTGAGTCGCCTTAAGGCGGTGTGCGTGCGTGTTGCGGTCGGTCCCTGCATGGTGGAGGCCTCCGTCGTTGCTGTGGTTTCTCACTTCCTGTTGGGTCTGCCATGGGTCTGGGGCTTCATACTGGGGTAACACACACACACACACACACACACACACACACACACACACACACACACAAATCATTATATCATTATAATATAAGGAAACTACAGCTGTCTGTATCTGTAAGACTAAAATGCCACTGTGTGTGTGTGTGTGTGTGTGTGTGTGTGTGTGTGTGTGTGTGTGTGTGTGTGTGTGTGTGTAGTTTTGTCCTGGCCGCAGTGTCTCCTGCAGTTGTGGTTCCTTCGATGTTGCTCCTGCAGAGAGAAGGATACGGCGTAGAGAAGGTAAACAAACCCTCACCTGCTGCTCTAACAACAGTCTGAGCACAGGTGATTCTGTAGTTTGCCACCAGGGGAGCAGGTGGCAGCCAAACATGAACCAGTCTGTGTAAATGTTACACATTATCTCTGTGGGCCTATCCTAGAAAACGCTAGAACCACCTACAAAACTCACAGAACCATCTCACTGACCACAAGAACCACCTATATGACCTCTAAAACCTCATATACTTCTGATTGAACATCTAACTATACATCACCACTAGAACTCCGTATAAGACCCCGAGAACATATTTGATGACAACAATCTAACAATGAACATCTAGAACCTCTTTAGTGGAACCTTATAAAGAATACCTACAACCCTTTAAATGACAAGTAGACTTCTAAAACCTCCTTGGTGACAACTGGACCCTCCTAATTCACTCCTAGACCCCCCGAAAGACCCCTAAAACCTTCTTAATGACCACTGGAACTAGGACCTCCTAGAAGACCACCCAACCCTCCTCTGTGATTACAAAATCATGCTAAAGGAGCTGTAGGAGCCATTTATATTTATTGTTGACATGATAGTATTATATATTTATATATAGTATTTTAGACACTGGGTGGCAGTGATTAGATGCACATGGTTGTATATTGGGGCATAGGTGACAGGAAGTGGTAGGAACAGGAGGAGGTGGAGCGGGTTGGCTGTTAATCGGAAGGTCGGCCGTTCAATCCCGGCTCCCCAGGCTGTATGTCAAAGTGGCCTTGGGCAAGATACTGAACCCCAAATTGCCCCTGGTGTATGAATGTGTGTGAATGTTAGTTTCTGTTTGAGCACTTAGGCTCAGTGTATGAATGTGACTGGTGAATGCAGATGTAGTGTAAAAGCGCTTTGAGTGGTCGAAAAGACTAGAAAGGCGATACAAGTACATAGCATTTACATTTACACAGTTCTCACCAGACCATAGACCACCGATTAGAGACCACAGATCAGCTTACATGCAAAACACTCCCATGGAGGGCAAAACACTCGTTATTTACGCTGCCTGCCAACCAATAAGCAAGTGATACACTGTTACTTTGAGTTGCTGGAAATGCTGGATGGTTGTTGTGATTTCGGATGCACTAATCGAGGAGGAGACAAGCCTGGGCTGTGTTAGGTGAGGGATTCCCCACGTAAACATACCGCAGTCGAGTGGCGGCAGGGACCTGGCAGTTTTTAACTGTAGAAATGTGGCAGTGGATGCTGTAATGATATAGTTATATGGATCGGGTATGCCCAACACTTGCAGCTTGTGTTCATATCTTTCTTTTTCTTAAGTTGAAAGGTGATACAAATAAAATTTGACTGTTTTTGCGGCGTCTCCACGGGGAGTCGCGGTGTGAGCCGCTATGTTGGTCTGCTGTTTTGCCCGCCAAGTCACCGGGCATGTCACGTGACTGAAAACTATGAATAGGGGACATCTAATAATGTTCTGTGTTGTTGTCCAGGGAATCCCCACCCTGCTGATGGCTGCAGGGAGTTTTGATGATATTCTGGCCATAACAGGATTTTCTACCTGTCTGGGAATCGCCTTCTCTACAGGTGAGAGCTGAGGAGAAAACGCTCTACTGTAATTTATTCTGTTCTATTTCCTTCCTTTTCATTCCTATCTATCCTGTTCTATGTGCTGTTTGTCCTGCAGGTTCTACGTGGATGAACATCCTAAAGGGTCTGCTGGAGGTGGTGGGAGGGATCATAGCCGGGCTTATCCTGGGGCTGTTCTTGTCCTGTTTCCCCAGCAAAGACCAGGTGAGAGTGAGGTTTGGTTTTGTGTTATGCTATTTTAAATTTAAACTTTAAATGTAATTGAATTAAATCATTTAATGTACTCTCTGTCTGCCTGCCCGTCCCTCTGTCTGTCTCTGTCGGCCTCTCTGCAGGAGGACCTGGTTTTGAGGAGGACTCTCTTACTGTTGGGTCTGTCCATATTTTCGGTCTTCTTCAGTCATGTTGTCGGTTTTGCTGGAGCCGGTGGTCTCTGTACGCTGGTGCTGGCCTTTTTGGCTGCTCTGGGCTGGAAGACCAACAAGGTAACACACATCAGAATCCTTTTAATCTGGATTCAACACCTGGATTCAGCCCTGTTTACACAATGTCAGCATGTCTTTTACCACTGAACCTATCTGAGCTTAGTCAGTGTTCGTCTTTACATCCAGGTCCCGGTGGCAGCCATGGTGGGTCGGTCATGGGATGTGTTTCAGCCGCTCCTGTTTGGTCTGATTGGAGCAGAGATTACCATAGCAACCCTCAGCCCCAGCACTGTGGGTAAGAACAATGCTAAAAAACAAACAAAATCATTTCTGATATTGTTAACCTGCACCTGCAGGAGCTTCCCCAGACTCTGTTGAAAGTCCAACACGTTTTGATGTTTCAATAATTTCCCTAATGTTGGTGTGCTTCGTTAAATATTTTTTCCACTGCGTTGGTCTGTTTGTCTATGTGTGTGTTCAGGTCTGGGTCTGGCCTGTATCAGTATTGGTCTGGTGATCCGCCTGCTCGTCACCTACCTGCTGGTTCATTTTGGAGGATTTAACCTGAAGGAGAAGCTCTTCATCGCTGTGGCCTGGCTGCCTAAAGCCACAGTACAGGTCTGTGTGTGCATGTGAATATCCTGTGAATCTCCTAAAGACTCAAGGGTCATGTTCATGCTTATGTGCATTCACTTGAATTAAGTGTTTAAGTGTTTTAAAAGTGTCCGATGTTTGTGTATTCATGTGTGATAGGCTGCCATTGGCTCCAAGGCATTGGACATGGCGAGGGAGGAGGGGGACCAGACCTTGATAAAATTTGGCTTGGACGTGCTAACGTTAGCGGTGTTAGCTATCCTGGTCACAGCCCCCATTGGAGCACTGGGTATTGGACTAGCGGGACCTCGCCTCCTGGCCCGGCAGGTCAAAGGTCAGTGCTCACACAGTCATGTTTTGCTGTTCCTAAAAAGTCACCCTCATTGAGTTCCTTTCTTTTCTTGAACCCAGAAGTATAGTTTCCTCTTCATCCTCTCATCAACCTTGTAAACACTGATGCTCGCTTTAACCTTTTACATGAGATGTGCGTTATGAATGTATAGGACGGTCTGGCTCTGGTTCTTAGGGCCTTCATCGACACAATGCATTTCCTAGTCCTTAATCCCAATCATTTCCCTGCTATATCTTGACCTTATCAAAAACCTAATCCTAACTTTAGCCTTAAAACCAGGTGTTTACTCTCAAACATTCTTTTGATTTAGTGAGGACTGGACAAAATGTCCTCACAATGCAGAATGTCCTCACTACGATGGTTTACGACAGATAGATAGATAGATAGATAGATATTTTTACTGACACTTTTAATCCTAATTTCAGCAGATGAGACAGAAGATGGAGGCACTAGTCCAAGCAACAATGGGATTGCTCAAGAAAAAGACAACGTGACACTTGAGAGCAAGTTATGAGGCTTCTGACTGGACAGACAAAAGAAAGTAATACTGTAAATTATACACTTTAAGTAAACCTTGTGTAGTTGCAGATATGCAGATAACTGTAACATAACTTTTATATCTGTTTCTTAAATGCATTGACATGCTAATGCTAATGTTTTACTGTTTGTACTTTTATGTCTGTATGGATTTTAATGTTTTATCCATGTTTTTGTGTTGTCTGCTTGTGATTATAAGTGTATGTTTTTTTAATGTCGTCTTAGCTTATTATTATTATTATTATTATTAATATTTTTTTTTTTTTACAGGTAGTGTTATTAGGAAAGACATGAGAGGTCCATATTTGTTAAAAATGTCAGGTAATTCTGGATAGTTTAGCTCTAAGTTGGATATATAAGAGCTTTCCCAGTCATTATAACAAATTAGATGTTGACATAAATGTGTATTTATGTGATAAATCACAATACAATTTATACACAATGAGTTAGCTAGCTAATGCACATGTAGCATCCTATATTTATTAATTCCTCAAAGTAGTAAGTAAGTAGTAATTGTTTATTTGTCACACATTTGTCACGTTTTAATTTCAGTTATTGTTCATATTTTTGTTTGCATATGTGAAGTGGAGTACAGGTAAGGTAATTCATCATTTGGGGATTGGCAGCTACTTTAGACAGCATGCTAATCGGACTGGGGTAAGCTTTTGTGGTGAAGCTTTTATAGCTCTTCAGAGCTCGAAGGGCGGGTGGAAAGCTGTCACAGAGATGTGGGAGATGTGATTGAGATAACAGCTCATTTTCAGCCTCTCTCGGAAGATAGTCACAGTGTTTCACTTCTTTGTTTGTGTGGAAAGTGACAAATAGTTGTACATAGTACTTTCTCACTTTTACATGGCTGACTAATCTCACTGTGAAGTTGGTGTGAATTTAGGATTGTTTGTTTGTTGTTTAACCAAACAACAAATAGTTCTGTTTGGGTATATTGCCTGTTTGGGTTTAATTAGCCTCGCAGGTGAAACAGTTAGCTAACAGGTTGACACTATTTAAATGCAATCAATCCAAACCAGGCTAATGATGAAATATTAAGGAAATTAACCAGATGTGTCCAGCTCTTTTGAGATTTACTGGCTGCTTTTATTAGATTATCAGTAATCATTAAGTATAATATTTTATCATTACTATTTATATGTGTTTTCTGTTATTGTTATTATACTTCATTTCTGTAATTCCCTGTCCTACTAATGAACATTTCCAAGAATTATTGTGAATTTTTAATCGTTCTTTCATACACCATGTGCCTTTAATGAATGGCTCAATAAATCCTTGTCAATAAAATTACAACGTGCCCTCTTCATTTAAGACAAAGCACTATTTCGTCTGTATTTCTGGAACAATACCCTTTGATCAACAGAACAACTGTAATTGATTCAGAGAAAATGCATCTAAATTACCCACTGTCTACACTGTGTGTCAGCTGCATTCAGACATCAGAGAGTTAAGTATCTTCAAATGAGAATAAATTCATGACCAGTAAGCCCTACATTGCATCCTGCTTCATCAAAATGATTGGGGGGATGAAATCTGGTGTAGGATGGGCTTCACTAGTCAGTTCCACGATCCTGGTTCCTTACCAAAACTTTTAGGTCTCCTCGCTCTTTTAAGCAAAGATCAATGTAGAAAATATTTAGAGACACAAAGATAATTTGTGAGGATCATCGAATGGATTTTGTTTTCGACAGAGTGGAGACTCTTACAGGAGCATCTCCCGGTTAAACTTTGAATATCTGATCAATGATTAAAGCCAATTAGCTTTAGAGTTGTGAGTCAGGGCCAGGGTTAACTCAGATATTTGGATAAAGTAGCTTGTGAATAATAAGGTGAAAAAGTCAGCAGCCACTGTCTCAAATACACATTCAATCAACATTTCTGCAGCTCAGATAATTTTCAGATTGAACCACAAAAGTTTCTGACTTTCTAGATAACAAAAAGCAGATTAAAGATCTTTCAGTTTTAGATGTTCAGAAATGAAGTTATTTGCAAATGCAATTTGCATTCACAATCTATACTGCATGTATTTGACACAATGACTGAACAAAATAAAACTTATGTGATAAAATACAATGTTATCAGACACACAGCTTCAGTATAGCTTTATCATTATCAGTCAGTGAGTGTTTCCTGTTTCTCTGCTGCTGGTGTCACAAGAGTGTCACATAGAGTCAGACAGAAACCAGTTTCAACAAGTTATAAACCACAACAGAAGTCGAGCATCAGTAAAAGCAGTACTAGTTGCAATAATGGCAGTAACATTTATTAGTTTAGTGTTGATAGAAGTAGCATCACTACTGGTAGTGTAGCACCCCAACACCCTTTAGATCAGAATGATGTGAGGTTTACCTGTAGACAGGAACCTGTCCTCCACAGAAAAATGACTATGAAAGTTGTTTTAGCCACACAAAATTACGACTCATTTACTGTGGCAGTGACTTCTAGTGGCCATACAACGCAAAAATGTGACAAAGACAGTGACATATTATAAAATAACCAGAAAGTGGAGTTTCAGGGGTGGTGGGTAGGGTGGAAGGATAGAAAGTTTTTCGGCCATTTCCTATGAGACTGGTGTTTGGCAGATTTATTTATTTAACAAAGTTATGTTATGCTAAGCATTAGCTGAGTTAGTTTTGTGGCATTAGCTTTTTAGCATTAGCTACATTAGCAATGTTAGCTTTGTAAGGGTGAGTGCCTAAACCTAAGTCAGTGTTTTTGTGCATGTCGACTGGTTAACCCAACAGTTGTGCAGGGTTTACCTTCTTTAATTATTGGCTTCTTTGTGTCGCTGTGTTCTCCACATGTTTATGCCATGTGACGTAGATCACATGATTTCAAAAATGTAGGTTGGCCGCTATTTTAGGATACGCTCATGTGACTTTTTTTTTTGAAGGCTGGTTAATACAACCTACACTCACCTAAAGGATTATTAGGAACACCATACTAATACTGTGTTTGACCCCCTTTCGCCTTCAGAACTGCCTTAATTCTACGTGGCATTGATTCAACAAGGTGCTGAAAGCATTCTTTAGAAATGTTGGCCCATATTGATAGGATAGCATCTTGCAGTTGATGGAGATTTGTGGGATGCACATCCAGGGCACGAAGCTCCTGTTCCACCACATCCCAAAGATGCTCTATTGGGTTGAGATCTGGTGACTGTGGGGGCCATTTTAGTACAGTGAACTCATTGTCATGTTCAAGAAACCAATTTGAAATGATTGGAGCTTTGTGACATGGTGCATTATCCTGCTGGAAGTAGCCATCAGAGGATGGGTACATGGTGGCCATAAAGGGATGGACATGGTCAGAAACAATGCTCAGGTAGGCCGTGGCATTTAAACGATGCCCAATTGGCACTAAGGGGCCTAAAGTGTGCCAAGAAAACATCCCCCACACCATTACACCACCACCACCAGCCTGCACAGTGGTAACAAGGCATGATGGATCCATGTTCTCATTCTGTTTACGCCAAATTCTGACTCTACCATCTGAATGTCTCAACAGAAATCGAGACTCATCAGACCAGGCAGCATTTTTCCAGTCTTCAACTGTCCAATTTTGGTGAGCTCTTGCAAATTGTAGCCTCTTTTTCCTATTTGTAGTGGAGATGAGTGGTACCCGGTGGGGTCTTCTGCTGTTGTAGCCCATCCGCCTCAAGGTTGTGCATGTTGTGGCTTCACAAATGCTTTGCCGCATACCTCGGTTGTAACGAGTGGTTATTTCAGTCAAAGTTGCTCTTCTATCAGCTTGAATCGGTCGGCCCATTCTCCTCTGACCTCTAGCATCAACAAGGCCTTTTCGCCCACAGGACTGCCGCATACTGGATGTTTTTCCCTTTTCACACCATTCTTTGTAAACCCTAGAAATGGTTGTGCGTGAAAATCCCAGTAACTGAGCAGATTGTGAAATACTCAGACCGGCCTGTCTGGCACCAACAACCATGCCACACTCAAAATTGCTTAAATCACCTTTCTTTCCCATTCTGACATTCAGTTTGGAGTTCAGGAGATTGTCTTGACCAGGACCACACCCCTAAATGCATTGAAGCAACTGCCATGTGATTGGTTGATTAGATAATTGCATTAATGAGAAATTGAACAGGTGTTCCTAATAATCCTTTAGGTGAGTGTATGTTGTCATTTAGGTTGGAGGACTTGTTGGTTGATAGTGAAGGTATAAACTGCCTGCAGAAATAGATACAGAACTTAAATTTACTTTTTTTAACTTTTCACCACAACATTTAAATAACTGACCCCCAACAAGAAGAAGCAAGAAAACCTCCTAAAAAATCCCATTCATATTTATAACTATGCAATGACTCATCGACTCGACTCAACTATTGTTGTCTGTCGTGCAGACTTGCTGCTACTGTCATGATGCAACACTCAATCCTCAAAAACTCATACGTAATACTCAATATATTTAGAGGTCTAGATTCAAAATATATATCAAGACCTGATATCACCAGCAGTCAAGTCGAGTAAACGGGTTTGTAATGTAATTAGTTCAGTTAGAAGGGACAGCCAGTGTGGTGACATATAAAAGCAGAGAGACGATGAGAGAAACTCAGCTTTTAATGAACTGAAGTCGATTACTTTTGATAAAACTATTTACTGAAGCGCCTGCATGCAGCTGTCTGTTCTTTTATCCTGAGGTGTCAAAACATGAGGCCGCTTTTAATGAGAAATATATATATGTGTATATATATATATATATATACATATATATTCACTCTTCTGTTTACTGTTCTCACATCCCCTTCTGATCTACACCTCCCTGTGGTTGATTCAAGAGGATGTTGTCACCCCAGTTGCTACCAGATGGTCAGTGAAGCTTCAGCCCGCATGAACTATGAAGGCGACTCAGCTTTTCCTCTGTAAGTATGGAAAACAGAAACACAAACACACATACTCAGAGTGTAATTCGGTGTGCAATGTATGTGTTCGTGCACACACACACACACACACACACAGTGATCTGACAGTGACAGTGTTGTTTCAGTGTTGTTGAGCGTCTGCCGGTCGTCTGCCAGCACCCGTGGTGAGTTTAATCTAACTATTTTGTTCCTTTTTACTTTGGAAAGATTACATTTTAGAAGTGAACCTTGTAATCGTTTTATTTATATTCTGT